CTTGTGAGCATCTTGAATAGTATTAAGGGACAAGATGGAAAAGAAAAAAAGATTCTAAAAGGATTCCTTACGATTGAAACAGTGGGTTAATGTATAGTGAAATCGTAATCACATGTGAACTGGGAACTAGCTATATGACCCCGTCATCATTGCCAATAAAGGCTAATACATAAGCGGAGTCGTGATTTTAAATTTATGTGTTGTTTTAAGTTACTGAGTTCAAAATTAATAATTCATACATATTTAATGAATTTTATAAGATAAATACATAATTCAAATCAAAGCTATTGAATTCGGCCGAACCCGTTTTCCGTACTCTAGCTCTGATTTTTATTTTCGTATTAATCTCATGATTTTCATCTCATTATGTTGACTACTAGGATACATTGTTAGTCGATAGTCTTGTTGCCGAAAAAAAAAGGGGAGAGAGAGTTGGCGAAGTATCGAACGAAAATAATAGAGTAGTCAAAATCCACCAGATTGAATAAATCATGTGCCAAAGTTTTGTAATACTATACAAAATGAATCCACATACGCCATCCGCCAGATAAGAGTTTAATCCTTTGCATACGATGAAATTCCTTCTTAGAGAAATGGTACTTACATTCGAAAACTAATTATATTAAACCAAGAAGGAAAGAACCATTAATGGTTCCCCTAAAAAGTCGTGTTCTCCACGTTCTCGGGGCAGCCGCTCAAGACCATAGAAAATAAGAGCATATTGGTTGAGTTTGGACTAAATAATACATGAACTACGGTCTAATAGAAATTATACTCACGGGCATCCATTGTTTTAATGGCCAAATAGATTTCTTCAAACTCGCATAGGGACGAGGAAACTTTTCCCAAACAATCAATGAAAGAATTACAGTCTCTATTAAGTAAAAGCTAAATAAGGAAAAGAAGTGCCCCAAATCAAAGGCATTCCATTATTAACTGAGGTTTCTTTCATATAATCCATCGAAGTTTACTTAATCCGGAAATGGATGAAGATCGGAAAAAACATGGAAGTGTCACGACCGGGAAATTCACCCTCGAAATCGTGATGACGCTTAACATTTCACTCGATAGACAAGCCAACGTTAGAATAATTTATCTATTTTTAACAGTTCAAATTAAATAATAATAAAGAAACCGAAATAACTGAAATAAATTTTGAAGTAAAAAACGAAAAACATAATAACTGAAATTTCTAATGCAACCCGAATCTGGTGTCACAAGTGTACGAGCTACTAGAATACTACAAATAGATTCTGAAATAAATACAACTGTTTCGAATGAAGTGAACAGTAAAATAGGAAAGAGGACGGGGACTTCAAGGTCTGCGGACGCCAGCAGATATACCTCAAGTCTCCGAATGTGATAGTCCGAGCTAGTGCGTCTCACATACAGTTGGGATCAGTACCAAAATCTGCACAAGAAGTGCAGAGTGTAGTATGAGTACACCCGACCCAATGTACTCCGTAGATGTCGAGCCTAACCTCGACGAGGTAGTGACGAGGCTATGACATGACACTCACGTAATTAAACTTGTACAAACATAAATATATGAGCCAAACAACAACAAATAGAGATTTAATATATACAGTTGGGAGGGGACATGCAAAAGGGGGACAAGATATGATAACTACCACGAGAATAACAACACAAGGCAGTAAAATAAATCATCAACCAATAAAGACGGATAAACATATAGAATAAAGATGGCACAGTATCACCCTTCGTGCTTTTACTCTCAACCTAATCATGTAGTGATGAAATAAGTAGAATGAAATGGCACAACATCACCCTTCGTGCTTTTACTCTCGATTTGCTCATGTAACAATGAATAATTGATATAGATGGCACGACATCACCACTCGTACTTTATCTCTCTTCCTCACTATGTATTAGTCAATAAATGATGTAATAAAATGGCACGACATCACCCTTCGTACTTTAACACTCTCCCTTACCATGTAGTAACGAATATAAAATTTGGGAGATAAATAATGCAAAGGATGTACTTTACGTCAATAATGATTCCAAGATACCAAACCTCAACTTTCAAAATACTCAACCATCACAGTTAATTTATAAACACGGAATGAACGATCAAATAAGTAATAATCTAATCTAAGCATGGATGTCATAATTTAAGAGCCAATAAATCACAAAGAAACAAGCTATACCACATGCTTTAACCCAACAACAACGCATAAGTACTCGTCACCTCACACATACGTTGTACCCACACATTAAACACGTAGCAAATAGGCAACAAGTCCTAGTCGCTCGATTCAAGGTTAACCATGACACTTACCTAGCTCTGCAACCAATTCAAAATTCAACTACGGCGTTACCTTTCGAATAAGCCTGTGAACCAACCAAATCTAGCAAGTTATCAACCAAACGATTCAAAATTAGCCTTAGAACTACCCACAAACGAAAAAGATTCAATTTAGATCATTATTAAAAAAAATCAACAAAAGTCAACCTCTGGGCCCACTTGGTCAAAATCTGAGGTTCGGACCAAAATCCAACCATCCATTCACCCCCGAGCCCGATTATGTAATTTATTTCGAACTCCGACCTCAATTCGAGGTCTAAATTCTAATTTTATAAAAATTTCAAGTTCTACCAAAATCCTCAATTTCCACCATGAAAATCCTAGGTTTAATGATGAAAACTTATGAAATGTAATGGGTAAATGAAAGGAAGTAGATTAAGGTCACTTACCAATGAATTGAGGAAGAAAGGATCTTGAAAAAATCGCCTCGAAGGTGTTTAGGGTTGAGAATTTGAAAGAATGAGCTAAAATCCCGTTTTCCCCTTCTTATGTCCAGGCGCAAATGTCGTAATTGCGAACTTGGACTTCTCGCAATTGCGACCATTTTGATCGTAAATGCGAACTCTGTTGACCCAGCCCCACTTCGCAATTTCGAAGTAATTGTTCGCAAATACGAACCTGACAAAGACACTATAATATCGCAAATGCGAAACCAGGCCTCGCAATTGCGAGGTCTGAGGCCTGCACCAGAAACATGTTTCACCAGCTATGCTTCTAAGTCCAAAACCACTCCGAAGCCTATTCGAAACTCACCTGAACCCTCGGGGCTCTAAACCAAACATGCACACAAGTCCAAAAATATCTTACGAACTCGCTCGCACGATCAAAACACTAAAATAACATCTAGAACTACGAATCAGACACCAAAACGAATGAATTTTTCAAAGAAACTTAAGAACTTTCAATTTTTCAACCAGACGTCCGAATCACGTCAAATTACTTCCGTTTTGCACCAAATTTTGCAAATAAATCATAAATACAGTAATGAACCTATACCAAGTTTCGGAATCCAAATCCGGACCCGATAACAACAAAGTCATACTTTGGTCAAATTTATTAATTCTTTAAACCTTTAAGCCTCTAGTTTTCAATAAATTGCGATAATTCGAGTTAGGGACTTCCAAATTCGATTCCGGCCATACATCCAAATCCTAAATCACGATACAGACCCATCGGGATAGTCAAAACACTGATCCGGTTTCGTTTCCTAAAAATGTTGATCGAAGTCAACCAAAATAACTTTTAAGGCATGATTTCACATTTTTATCAATTTTTAACATAAAAATCTTCCGAAAAAAAATACGGACTGCGCACGCAAACCGATGAGGCTAAACGGAGCTAATCGAAGTTTCAAAACACAGAATTTCAAGTTAAAACTGTAAATGACCTGTCGGGCCATCAGAGGAAACGATCACTATAATGGAGCAAGACATGACCGCGATTAAGAGAAAAATACCCTTAAATAACTAAAGGAACATAAAATGACAATTTGTAATATGAGCTGATTAGTGCAAGTAAGGCTTAGATTATCAAATCTTGGACACATCCTTCCTAGATGTATTGAGTTGTTCCTCGTATCCCCAAGAACACCTAATGCATCTTATATTATTTTATTTTTAATTTTTTAATACTTAATCATGACTCAAAAAATACGTTCATATAGAACTATTTGACAAGTTTTAAATTACACTGAGTAACATATTGTAATCGATCAAATTGCACTGGTTAATGCTTTGATATGGTCATTAAACAAAACTATTGAACTCTTTCTTTAACATAAACGAGCTTAACAGTAGATTACATCTTCAATTAGGATTCGAAATTAGGCCCGTGGACTCGAACTAATATATGCTAGCTACTATTCAAGTAAGCATATTCTGTCCGGACAAAAGTGAGTTGCTCTAGTGGTAAGCACTATCCACTTCCAATCAAGAGGTTGTGAGTTCGAGTCACCCCAAGAGCAAGGTGGGATTTTCTTGGAGGGAGAAAGTCGATGGTATATCGGAAATAGCCTGAGCAAGGTGGGATTTTCTTGGAGGGAGAAAGTCGATGGTATATCGCAAATAGCCTCTCTACCGCAGGGTAGAGGTATTATACTGAGTTGTTGTTGTTGTTTATGCTGTGTCCGGATCGGATCCAAAGCAACAGATTCATATGCACCACACTAAATGTGCCACCTCAGTTTGCCAAATTGACAGCTCAACGGGGTGTGTCACACGTGTCACGCTGTGTCATCTTCAAACCGCCTTGAATAAAAGTTCCTATATATGTTCCACTCCCTAATTCCTACTGACCAACGTTAATTTTCCCGAAGAAATTAAATTGGCAAACAGCAAACGTTGTTATGGCGACGGGCAAAGCGGCGGAGCGCGGCGGCGATCATCAACATCAGCGGATATTGGCTAACCTGGAAAGGGCTACGAAAGAAGAAGAGAAAGTAGAGAGAGAAGTAGACGCGAATGAAATGTCGCGGTTATGTGAAGCGCACTGCCAAGGTATTGCGGCAACACAAGGGATGAACGAGAGGAAAGCGACGGCAGAGGCTTGCGATTTCGAGGATGGTTCGGGTCAATTGGCTGAGAAATGTCAAAGTCTATGCCAGCAAGCTGATCATTTTAGGTGTAACAAGTGATTGAAGAAGTNATATATATCTTGTTCTAATTTCCTTTTGTGTGGCAGCACCCAGGGTGTTGTATCATTTTCGTTTAATCCAAGTAATGCGTAAGTTGATGTAGTAGCTATTTGGATAATCTGACGCTCTTATTAATTGCCAAGGAAAATTAACAGGAGTACTGTTGTCCGTTTCCCTTTTGAGAATAGTAGCACTTTCCCTTCAGGCTACTCTTCATTTTCATTGAATCGAAAACGGCAAGTTAATCAGAGCAAACAACAGACCAATACTCATCAGCATCATACCACAAAACAACCAACTCCACTAACAATTGAGTCAAGCCAAGTTAATCTAAATGCAAAGGCTAATAAACCTCAAAACACAACAACAGTCCTAATGTGCAATCTCCCATTAAGAAAGGTTCTCAGATGCATACTACTAAGCCAAAACACCAAAGTAGTTCTGATATCGCCTCTACTTCTGTTGTTCCAAAAATCCCAAAGACAACACAAATTAGCCAGATAGAAAATACACACTGAAACCCACTTCTCAAGAGCCTCGAGATCCTCATTCTCCTGACAATCCAACCTCTGAATCTCATCCACCAGCTAACAATCCTATTAACCATCCTTCAGAGAGTAGTGATGAATTAGAGCTTAATATTATAAATAATCCTATTAACCATCCCTCAGAGAGTAGTGATGAATTAGAGCTTAATATTGTAAATGATGTAGATTCCGAATTTGAAAGGGAAATTCAGAAATTGCTGAAAATGATCAAGTTGTTAGTGATTCTGAGAATGACTTTGAAAGTATTGAAGATTAATCTAAAGTGAGGAAACTCTTGATGCTCAATCAGCTACCAACGATGATCATGTTAACAGATGCTTAATCAGCTACCAGCGATGATCATGCTAACAGATTGTTAGAAGTTTTTTCACATCAATCACCACCACCAGATGAAATTGTTCAAGCCTTTGGAGATGTAACCGACAGACACCACCTCTCACCTAGGGGGCATGAGGTAACCAAAGGTGGACTCTAATTAACCAGAGGTGGACACACCTTTAGGGAGGGCAGAGGTAATAGAAGAGGCAAAGGCATTCCTCTTATGAAATTTTCACAGGACAATGATGATCAATCTACATCTTTTTAATGATTAAGTCTTCTTATTTGGAATATTAGAGGCATCATTTAACAAGGTGCCTTTGACAGATTTAAGCAACTCAAAAGAACTCCCAACCTTTTATTCATTGCTATCATGGAACCTTTCAGCGGAAGAAAAAAGTTAGAGAAATTTAGGAGAGAACTTGGGTTTGATTTTGCATATGTCAATTGCAACAATAAAATCTGGTTCTTTGGTAATAGCTCTATCAACTGTATTGTTATTGAATACTTTACTCAACTTATCAATTGCTCAATTGATAATAATGGGGAGACTTTATATATGACTTAAGTGTATGCTAAATGCGAAGCTCATCTCAGGGAGCTTCTATGGGATAACATCAAATCTTTTTCTAATGGAGTTAGCTCTCCATGGATGGTGATTGGGGATTTTAACGCTATTACTGATCCTCAGGAGAAAAAAGGGGGAAAAATCCACAATATGTCTAAAAGCTTGCCCTTCATCAACTGCATTGTGGATAGTGGCCTTTTGGATCTTGGTTACACTGGCAGTCCTTTTACCTGGTGTAATGGCTGGGCACCTATTAAGAGGATATGGGCAAGATTGGATAGAACTCTTGTTAACTCGGAATGTTTACAGAATTTTGCAGATACCTCTATCACACACTTAGTCAGAACTGGCTCTGATCATGCTCCTTGCTTGTCTCCACTTCCAATCCATAATTGGATCCTAAAAGTATTTCAGATTCTTAGATCTTTGGACTGAACAAGAGAGTTTTATGCAAGTGGTGGAACAAGCCTGACAACTACAAGTAGAAGGAGGCCCTATGTAGAGATTTCATCTCAAGCTAAAAAATATCTGTAAGAGTCTTTCCTTTTGGTCCAAGAATTCTATTGGGAATATTTTTGATAAGACCAAAGAATTGCAGAATATGCTTGAGGTATTAGAGGAAAGATGTCTATATGACAATTCTGACAGTAATAGGATGAAATACAATAATATGAATGCACAGTTGATTAGACACATAAAAAATAAAAATTTATTTTGGAGACAAAAAGCTGGTTTGAAGTGGTTTACAGATGGTGACAATAACGCTAGGTTCTTTCACTCTGTAATTAATTCCAGAAGGAAAAAAATACAACTTACAAGAATCAAGAAGCAAGATGGTACCTGGATTGAGAACAAAGATGATATAGCTACTAAAGCTATTAACTTTTTTGAGCAGCAGTTCACACAAGAAAATACTTGCAGAGATTTTTCAAAGCTCAGGGGTCTAACAGAGTAATAAATGAAGAAGATAACTTGATTTTAGAGGCACTCCCTACCATGGATGAACTGAAACAGGTAGTATTCTCCATGGATAGTAGTAGCTCGCTTGGCCCCGATGGCATTTCTGGAAAATTCTTTCAACACTACTGGAATATAATTTATGTTGATCTCTATTAGGTGATTTTGAAATTCTTCTCTGGGCAACCACTTTCTAGATCATTCACTCATACATACCTTGTCCTTATCCCTAAAATTGATAACCCGCAGCAATTCACTGATTTCAGACCTATTAGTCTAAGCAGCTTCTCTTCCAAAATTATCTCAAAGTTGCTTAACAGTAGGCTAGACCCTCTTATGGACGGGATTATTTCTCCAAACCAAATTGGTTTCCTTAAAGGTAAGTCAATCTCAGATAATGTCTTGCTTACTCGAGAATTTATTCATAACTTGAATAGGCCCAATGTCAATGGTAATGTAGTTTTTAAGCTAGACATGGCAAAGGCCTTTGACAGAGTTCCTTGGGACTGCCTCTGTCAAACCATGAGGCAATTAGGCTTTTCTGAATGTTGTATTGATATGGTTGCAAGATTGATCTCAAACAATTGGTACTCCATCAATGTCAATGGAGTGAGACATGGGTTTTCAAATCTTCTAGGGGCCTTAAGCAAAGACACCTACTATCCCTCTCACTTATTGTCATTGGGGCAGAATTGTTATCTTACATGATGGACCAACTGGTACATGATAATTTTCTTAATTTTTCTATGGATCGAGGCAGTCCTTTAATCACTCACCTCACATATGCTGATGACACCATCCTCTTCTTCTCTAGTGACTTGTTATCTATTGCCATGATGATGAAAAAGTTGGAGAACTATCAACAAGCCTCAAGACAAATAGTGAATAAAAGAAAATCTACATTCCTGGTATCTTCTAACTCCTTCAACTGTAATTGAAGACATCAAAAGCATTACTGGTTTTTCACATTTCAATTCTCTTTTACTTATTTGGGGTGCTCTATTTACCCTGGAAAAAAGAAAATTTGGTACTTTAAAAATATGGTGGCCAAAATAGCAAATAGAACTCAGGGTTGGAAAGAGAAAATTCTCTCCTTTGGGGTTAGAGCAGTCCTTATCAGGTTTGTAATGAATTCTATTCCTTTACATATCATATTTGTTGTGCATCCACCAAAAACTACCCTTGATCATATTGAAAAATCTCTTGCTAGTTTTTTCTAGGGTACAATAGAGAGCAAGAGAAGTTATCATTGATTTTCCTGGAAAAATTTATGTTATCATAAGATGGAGGGAGGGGTAGGTTTTAGATCATTGCATGACATTTGCATTTCTTTTGCTGCTAAATTTTGGTGAAATTTCAGAACTCAGAAATCTCTTCTCACCCTCTTCCTCGAAGCTAAATACTGCAAAAGATATCATCTAGTTGCTAGCAAAAAGAGTTATACTTAGTCACACTCTTGGAAAAGGCTAATGGATATCAAGAAAGACTATGAAGCGCATATTTTATGGAATATAGGAAAAAGTAACCTTTCCTTTTGGTGGTATAGCTGGACCAATAAAGGAGCCCTTGCTAATTTAGTTCAATAGGGAAACAAGTCCCAGAAGATAACTGAGATAAAATGTGCAAGTAAAAGCTGAGACTGAGATTTGGTTTATGCCCCCCTCTATGTACATCTTGAATTATCAATGCATTCTCCAGCGGAGAGCTCTTCTTGTTAAAAAAAAAATCACTAAGTTGATGTAGTACCCATGTAAGTTATATGTCACCTTTAATTTATATCGATGTCGCAAAAGGTTTTATTAGGATTTAGGGATTATTTTCTTATAAGCTGTTTATTACTTGTGTTAGCTAGTGTTGGATGTGTTTTGTTTTAAAATTTTTAGTTTTCGAGTAAACACTTTGTTGATAAGGCGGGTTGCTCTGATGGTAAGCGCCCTCCACTTCCAACCAAGAGGTTGTGAGTTCGAGTCACCCCAAGAGCAAGGTGAGAGTTCTTGGAGGGAAGGATGCCGAGGGTCTATTGGAAACAACCTCTCTACCTCAGGGTAGGGGTAAGGTCTGCGTACACACTACCCTCTCCAGACCCCACTAGTGGGATTATACTGAGTTGTTATTGTTGTTGTTGAGTAAGCCTCCCCAAACCCCACTAGTGGGATTATACTGGGTTGTTGTTGTTGTTGTTGAGTAAGCACTTCGTTCTAAGATTTTCTTAGTACGAACCTTGAAATCATTCATCAACTCCATACTAGTTGAGATTAGTTGAGAATATCTTATTATTAGTTTTAATTTATATCAATCTATTCGATTGAGCACAAAAATTAAGTAAGAAATGAATATCCGTAGAACCTACGGTTTAAACATGTCATATTGTCTATAAAAGCAAATTATTAAGGCTAAAACAAAAATTTTAAGTTAAAATTATGTTTAACTAAAATAAACTATTTTAAATCAGATTAAATCGAGAATAAGATCAGATAAACTGAAATAAGGTCAAATAAATTAGGAATAAAATAAAAAAATTAAATTAAATTATTTTAAAATTTAAAAAGATCATCTTTTTGAAAACGATTAAAAACCAGAAAAGGCCACATGTTGAAATGGAATAAGCATTGCCTATTCGGTCTCTTCGCTGCTAAAAAAGTATGTATCTTTTCCTCCTCACGTGCCGAGATTTGAACTCATCACAACACATGAACTCAAGGTCTCTTGTCGCACCTGTTTGCTACGATGTATTAATGAATTGTGCATTCATCTAAAAGACCTCTTGTGTCCTTGCTATGATATACTATGGATGATTTTATTATATTTTATACTTTTTATTTATTTAATCCTATTTTTTATTTTTTTCCTTTTTTCATTCAAGAGGCTTCCCATTTTTTTTCGTTGCTTCCTGTCGTGGTAGCAACAATATTGGTTTGCATGTAACAAGCTAACATGATAATTGTATGGGTCAAAATATGTCTTTAGAATATTTAAGCCAAGATAATACTAAGGGAAGAGTTCCTAAGTCGTCGTTTGTCGAGATGGTCCAAGAAGCAGCAAAGTCTGTGATCGAAGAGTCAACGAGAGTCGTAGTCGAGGCGTCAACAAGGGTCGAGCACCGTTAACAGAGTTGTAACGGCTACTTTTCAAGATAGGACATTAAAGAGAATATTCTAGTGGATATTCTCTGCACTTGTGCTATTAGAGTTTCTTAGAAATATGTCCCATATAAATAGAAAAAAGGACAATGATAGGAGCATGTGATATTCATTTGTAAACACACATTTTGACTTAAAGATTCAGCTCTCACTTGCTAAGAAATAAACGTCACCTTTCATTGAGATTTTTGTTCATGCTTTTCCTTCAGACTCGGATATTCTTAGATTTGTCTATCACTCATTGTCAGGAGGAAGATCCACTTATTCCATCATTTATTGGGTGAATCATTCCTCCTATTTACTTAAATGTCATTTATTGTTGTTCATTATTATTGAATGTTACATTATTGCTTCTGTTTCCGAGAACATTTATTATATGATATTATCACTATCCGACCATATACACACAATATTTATTACTTCTTTAAAAAATCCCATCTAAGGATATTATTGTTAGTTAAGATTAACCCGTGTTCATAAATTTAATTATTTGAACCAAGATCTATATTTGTTGGTCAAACAATTTGGCCCCGTATGTGGGGATTTCTTAGTTAAATTTTTAGTTTCCTCTAGATCTACAATTGACGCAAGTCACTAACGTCAAAAATTCCCAAGATCTCCTTCTTTGTGTGTGCAAAACCCTACATGGAAGGTAACCGAGAGGAAATGACGAGGATAACAGGTGGCTTCCCAACTAACCTCTTGAACGTCATCAACGAAAACTGTGAAACGGTAGGTGAGGATACGACGCCCAGTGCGTCCCCTAGGCGAGAGCAGTCACACCCCCACACTGCAGCATAACAAAACCCAATGGGAAGGGGCCTCCACGTCTGCATAGGAAGGGATACCCCCATCTGTGAAGAAACTCCTTGAAGCATGGCTAACTGACTCACTGACAAGCGTCCTCAACAAATCCGCTCCAGGCTTGACTGCAGAAGTCGCGAGGACTTGCGCGATACAACAAACATACGAGCAGTGCAACTAACCCTTCCCTCCAACGACAAGTATAACTTACAATATTACTGATAGTGCATGTGATAACTCCCTCGGTGCGATTCTAAAAGGAATGGAAGAAATGGAGAATGAAAACAGGGCACTTCGAGACTAGATGAAGGAACACCAAGAACGGGTTGATAAGATACCAGGTTCTCCTAAGCTGCTATAAAAAAGGGACGCCTGTAGGTTCATAGAGAAGTCGTACAATGATGACGCAGCCCCGCATGCCATACCAAAGACCTTCTAAATGCCACCCTACCTTAGGATATATGACGGAACGACCGTTCCTAAAGATCATGTGACTCACTACGTCACCGCCGTGAAAGGCAATGACCTCGCCAAGGAACAAGTGTCCTCCATTATGCTGAAGACGTTTGGCGAAACCCTCACATGAGGGGCATTAACATGGTATTCGCAGCTACCAGCCCGCTCCATAGAAACTTTTGAAGAGATGGCCGATATAAGTTCGTAACTTCCCATGTCGGAGCTAAGAAGGCTGAGGCAAGAGCAAACGACATATTTGCTATCAGGCAATCTTGGGTGAGGGACTAAGGGACTTCCTCGCTCGGTTCAACTGAGTAGGGATGACTCTGCCAAACGTATCCGAAGGGATGAAGGTCACAACTTTTCAAAACGGGCTGAGCAGAGATGGTTCAAGAGCAACTAGAAAACTATTGAGTCGACTGATGAAGTATCATCCAAACACTTGGGACGAAATCCACAACGCTTATTGTGCCGAGGTCCGAGCAGATGAGGACAACCTCAACGGGCCGACTCACCGACTAACCTCGGTACAAGCTGAATCCAAAAAAGATCAAAGAGATAGTTCAATAAGAGATCATCCAATTCCGCGACCTAACAAGGAATGTCATCAACCATATATCAGGACGACCGTTGCACCCTCCTTCTGCTACGAAGAAGACCTGCCCAGGCCAAGGATGGGACCTCATCGGAACGAAAGTGGTATGCCTCCCTTATTATCTACTCACAATTTTTGTGTCACATACAGAGATCGTCTACGCTCTGGAGAAACTCGTACCGAAAGTAAAGTGGCCGCCAAAGACGAGATCAGACCCGAACACCAGGACGTCCGACGCCTTCTGTGAATTCCACCAGGAATGCGTACACAAAATCAAAGATTGCATCACCTTTAGAAAGGAAGTTGTAAACATGTTACGACAAGGGCACCTCAAAAAACTTATAAGCGATAAGGGGAGGACCAACTTTACCAAAGGGTGTGAACATCATGGCCCGCCAAAACCACTATCACCAGCGCGTACCATCAACATCATTATCGGCGGCGGTGATGATGCCTCTGTCAACGGCGTGAAGTTCACCACCACTCACAAACTCAAGCGGTCTATCACCCTCGAACTGTATGACGGACTCGAAGAGAGTATCATCTTTGATTAGTCAGACACCGACGACTTGACTTTCCCCCATAACGATGCCCTTGTTATTACTTTACGCATTTTTGATATTGATGTCAAGCGCACCATGGTGGATGATAGAAGAGGTGCGTGCATTATCCATCCCCGAGTCCTTGTCCAAATATGCTCAAGGATAAGATAGTCCTGTGTTGCATCACACTAACCGGTTTTAACAATGCAGTTGAATGAACATCCTAGGAAATTACACTCCCCGTCTTGGCCGGCAGTGTAACTCTAGAGACCACATTCCATATCATGAACCAGGGCACCGCATACAATGCCATAGTGGGTCGACCATGGATACATTCCATGAGAGCCATCCCCTCCAGCTTATACCAAGTAATTACATTCCAACTCCATGGGGAATATTCAGTATACGCGGAGAACAACACATATCCCGGGAATGCT